CCATCCATCCATCCATCCATCCATCCATCCATCCATCCATCCATCCATCCATCCATCCATCCATCCATCCATCCATCCATCTGTCTCTCTGTCTCTGTCTCTCTCTGTCTGTCCGTCTGCCCGTCCATCTATCTAGCAAAAATATTTTTACCCTTCCTTTCTCCTAAAAAGGATGGCAGGTGGCTTGCCTCATTAAGTAAGCCACAGAGTAGGCTCACTGGAATCAATGAAGCTTATGGAGGAGCTGACTCACCAAAGTCACAACACTTCAATGGGCCTACTCTAGTGTGATTTACTCCAACAAGCAACAGGATTTTGGCCACTGAGTCCCTTCTTGGATTCCCTCTTTCATGCCAGTCAGGTGGGTCCTTGGCACTACTGGGAATGCAAGCGGGATTTCTGCGTTGTGCCATGTCCCCCCCAGTGTAACAACGCAACATCGGAATTTGGGCCGATGAATTTCAGTGTGTTTTTATATGTGTATCGCCACTGTTGTGAACCACTTTCAAAGCTGAGGCTAGAAAACCGGATGCAAATACTCGATATGAAGAGATGAATAATGCAGATATACAATAAATAGTCTCACAGCCTCTGTCATGTCAGTTGTAAAGAAGCCTGCCTCCACAATGTGAAGGTCTATCGCAGACCTGGACATGATCCAGCTGTGAGCAAGGAAAACACACTCTCCATGAGGGTGCCTGCAACACTGGACGCTTTGCAAAATAAATATATATGGAAAGAAAGAAAGAGGCTTCATGTTGAGGACACAGATTAAAGCCCCATGTCGCTTCCTCTGCCTCGGCCCACGAGGGAGATGCATTTCCTCAAATCCATCTATTTTTAGGGAATATTGTTGTGAATCAGATGATCCAATAATGTGATCCATTCCAGGTGCCCAATTGTTGGAAAGATTTCTGGGGGATGGAGGAGAAAGAGAAGGACTTCAGCAGGACATGTCGTTCGGGCTCCCAGGGGAAAAAACATCAGCAAAACATTCTCATCCTGTGACATGTCAGCCCAGAAGCGTGGGGGGGGGGATGAGAAGAGAGCTGCTTCCAGAGCCAGACTTTAAGGAGATGCTCCCAAAGGACTGGGAACCAGTTCCTCGAAATGCAATTCCAAGCCTACAAGTGGGATACGAAGCCAACGGGAGTCTTCGGCCCTTGCACCACGGAAAACAACGTCGTTTCAGTCTTCAATCCAAAAGGAGACTGGGACGAGAAATGAAACGTTTTCCTGATCACTGTATATGAGTGTGAAAGCTGGCCAGTTGACTGGGGGGCAGGGGGGGATTGATTCATGTGAAATGTGGTGCTGGAGGAGAGCTTTGAGGATGCCCTGGACTGCCAGAAAGACAAACAAGTGGGTCCTAGATGAAATCAAGCCTGAACTCTCTCTCTGGAGGCAAAAAATGGAAAAATCGAGGCTTTCCTCCTGTGGGCACCTCATGAGAAGGCAGGCTTCTCTGGACAAGACGACGATGCTGGGAAAGGTGGAAGGCAGCAGGAAAAAAACAAGTGGGTCCTAGATGAAATCAAGCCTGAACACTCTCTCTGGAGGCAAAAAATGGCAAAATTGAGGCTTTCCTCCTGCGGGCACCTCATGAGAAGGCAGGCTTCTCTGGACAAGACGACGATGCTGGGAAAGGTGGAAGGCAGCAGGAAAAGAGGAAGGCCGAATATGAGATAGACTAACTCTCTAAAGGATGTCACAGGCTTGAGTCTGCAGTTGCTGAGCCAGGCTATTGAGATCACCCATTCATAACGTCGCCATAACTCAGAGGCAACTCAATGGCACATAACAGCAGCAACACATCGTGCTTTAGAACATGGAGGCCCTTCTCCTGAAGCATTCAACTCAACATCGCTCTGGGCTTTTAAGCCTCCCAGGCTGTCCCTCTGTGTCTATGTATATGTGGGTTGTCTTTGCTAAGGTTTTGAGAGTCCAGACCAGAGGGGCGGGATATAAATCAATCAATCAATCAATCAATCAATCAATCAATCAATCAATCAATCAATCAATCAATCAATCAATCAATCAATCAACATCAGTCTGGGCTTTTAAGCCTCCCAGGCTCTCCCTCTGTGTCTATGTATATGTGGGTTGTCTTTGCTAAGGTTTTGAGAGTAACGTTGAAAGTTAGGGCTGAGAGTTTGCCGGTGGCAAGCCATCGGGAAGGTGGGCTCAAGAAAACATGGCTGGAGAAGTGGGAACAAGTTCGTGTGCACACACCTCATATATTTTCCCCTGCCCGCCTCCCCCCACCCCCCATTTGTGTGACCATGGAAGAGCTGTTTGTAGAACGGGGGCTCTGTGCAGAAGAAAGCCTCCCGAGAGCATTTCACAAAGCCACACGGCTCACGGGAAATTGCCCTCAACTGTCACATCATAAATCTTCCCAAGTTTGTGGGCAAAAGGGTTTGCTTAGGAAAACAAACCAGTTTGTGAGCTCAGGAGAACAAATCAGGCAGAGGTCTGGGTAGGGAAACCAGCGCTGAGAAATATCGTGGGATATCCAGCATTCGCCACCACTGGCACCAGCAGCAGCCGGCCATTTCAGTTATGAAAACTGATGCTCTACTCGGCAACGACAGGTAGCGAAACTTGAACATTTCCTGCAGCCCTAGGGTGGCGAAAGCAGGATGTTCCAGCTGATTAGAACGAATAAGACAGAGCCCCCACGATGTGCCGTTTTTTAGTACGAACACCTTCAACATGACTGAATGTCATTGGGCCCGGCTGGCCCCCTCTTTGCTGCCCTTCCACAAGCAGGAGAGGACCTTTGTCTTCAGGCCAGCTTCCCCTGTGGGACTGGCTGCCTGAGCGGAGCTTTTAAATGGATGCTTTGCCGCTTTTGAAGGTGCTTTTGCTTGCCATCCTTTTAGTGTGGTATTCATTCCAGTATTGGAGTATTTAAATCCCATTTAGTATTTGTGTTTTGAGCTTCCAAATATTGTCTTTTAAGGATGCGAGCTATCTTACGTCATTTGTTACGGCAAGTGCATGACCTGATGGCAGAAGGGCTGTGTCCAGTAAGGGAGAAACGGGTGTCAGAGATGATGGTGGAGAAATTAGTTCGGCATCCAAATGGCATCTAGCTTCCAGATGTATGAAGTGGCTGGAAGAGGGAGGGTTCTATAGCTAAATATAGCTGGATGCAATTAACAGTGTTCTGGAGGTCATTAGGTAGGGAACTCCTTTGCCAGAGATAGACGTGATGAACAGCCCTAGGCTTCTATGAGTCTAGGATCAGCAGCTTAACCGTATTCAGGTTCCTGATCCACCCCATTTGTAGCCACATTCATGGTATATCCACTCCCCTCTTCAGTTCTTTGTGCTTAGATATGCTAAGGTCTAAGCACAAGACCACTGGAGGCAGTGACAGATTTTACTTTCCTGGGCTCCATGATCACTGCACATGGGGACAGCAGCCACGAAATTAAAAGACGCCTGCTTCTTGGGAGGAAAGCAATGACAAACCCTGATAGCATCTTAAAAAGCAGAGACATCACCTTGCCGACAAAAGTCTGCATATTCAAAGCTATGGTTTTTCCAGTCACGATGTATGGAAGTGGGAGCTGGACCATAAAGAAGGCTGACTGCCGAAGAATTGATGCCTTTCAATTGTTGTGCTGGAGGAGACTCTTGAGAGTCCCCTAGACTGCAAGGAGAACAAACCTATCCGTCCTGAAGGAAATCAACCCAGAGTGCTCACTGGAAGGACAGATCCTGAAGCGGAGGCTCCAATCCTTTGGCCATCTCATGAGAAGAGAAGACTCCCTGGAAAAGACCCTGATGTTGGGAAAGTGTAAAGGCAAGAGGAGAAGGGGACGACCGAGGACAAGATGGATGGACAGGGTCATCGAAGCGACCAACGTGCATTTGACCCAACTCTGGGAGGCAGTGGAAGACAGGAGGGCCTGGCGTGCTCTGGTCCATAGGGTCACGAAGA